TCCTGTAAATCAAGTCAAGTCACAAATCTTTATCGTCATTATGCATAGCACAACGAAATTTTTTCTGGCAGCTCTCTGCTTCAAAAACAGACATTATTTATATAACACACAGTTGTATAAGTCAATATAAAAATATGAACAAACTAGAGAAATGCATTTCCTGTTGAAAATGCGTGTGGATGCTATGTGTTGAACAATCGCCCTGAAAATGCTGAACATTTTGACACCTGAAAGGCATATCTACCTGAAAGTATGCTGAAGTACAATTTTCTTGTTAATTTGAACGAGGCAAGATTTTCAAAATAAAGCTAAATATTTCAGAAGTGTATAAAAATTCTGAAGAGAAGCATGAATGTCCTGGGAGACTTGAATGTTTTGATACCTGAAATACATGAAAGTATGCTTAAGAAGAATTTCCCCATTCATTTGAAAGGGGCAAACTTTTCAGAATAAAGCTAAATATTTTAAAAGTGTGATGTTTTGAAAAATTGTTAATAAAAGCATGAATGTCCTTGAACAGCTGAACATTTTGATACCCAAAATAGCTGAACGTATGCTGAAGTAGAATTTTCCCATTCATTTGAATCAGGGAAAACATTCAAAATAAAACTAAATATTTCAGAGGTATGAAGTTTCGAAAAATTGTGAATAAAAGCATGAATGTCCTTGAGAAGCTGATAATTTTGATACCTGAAATAGGTGAATGTATGCTGAATTTGAATATTCCCATTCATTTGAATGGGGCAAAAATTTCAAAATAAAGATAAATATTTCAAAGGTATGAGATTTAGAAAAATTCTGAAGACAAGCATAAATGTACTTGGAGAACTGAACATTAAATATTTCAAAAGTATGAAGTTTAGAAAACTTCTGAAGAGAAGCATGAATGTCCTTGAGGAGCTGAACATTTTGTTAGCTGAAAGTATGCTGAAGTAGAATTTCCCCATTCATTTGAATGGTGCAAGATTTTCAAAATAAAGCTAAATATTTCTAAAGTATAAAGTTTAGAAAAATTTTGAAGAGAAGCATGAATGTCCTATAAGAGCTGAACATTTTGATACTTGAAATTTAGCTGACAGTATGCTGAGTGTAGAATTTCCCCATGTGTTTGAATGGGGCACGATTTTCAGACTATCTGGCCATGCAAGAACTGGGATGTTTTCAGCTTCCAGGAATTGTGTACAGATCCTTGCAACATGGGGCTGTGCATTATCCTGCTGCAACAAGGT